TAGGAGCAAGGAAGCTACTAGGAGCAAAGGGCATCGCTACTAGGAGCAAGGGCATCGCTATTAGAAACAAGAATTAGACTAGCATTAAAAGCAATTAGAATTAAGTTTAATTAGAATTAATTAGAATTAAAAATTCCACTTGCCCCTGGGCAACATCTTCTTGAACCACCATCAGTGCTGCCGTCCCTTGACTGTCCAAGATCTTGGGGCTTTGACGGACACACCCGTGGGGTGTTTCTCAACACCCTGACACACCAGTGACACGTGACGTCCACTCAACCTTCCAAACACCGGCGACAAACATGCCTTGCCGCGAAGCTGCGCCGGAAGTCCTGAACAAATCAGGGCTGTGAACTCGAAACATGTGCATGTTTTTCTCTGGCCGAGGGCTCTGTTCGATGGGTCTTTAATGCCAAAGTGATCCAAGCTGAGAGTCTAACCCCAACTTGGAGATTTTAACCTGGAGATGTCTCTTCAATCTCACTTGTTCATCGACCAAGCGAGGTCAACCCCATCTCCCATCTCCTCAAAAGCTTCGCAGGCCTTTGCACGAGAGACATTCTACACTCAGAGAGGAATTATGGAGCAGTTTGGGGGTCCCCTTCGGAAGGTGCAAAGGCAGAATGCTGGCCGTCTTTTAGTCGACAAGGCACACGCAAACTCTTTTTTCAGAACACTAGCCCACCAAGTACTATCAAGTACTGATCTTGCAGTTCATTGCGTGTCCGCACTTCTGGGTCAGGGATGATGTGGACAAGCACAATTTTGGAACTTAGATTCTTGCCAGTTTTAGAGCCCTGTTTGTTCCACTGACGAACTGCTCGTGCTCGCCTCTCGGATCAGAACGGCATCTTCGCCTGTCGGGAGAATGATTTCATACTCACTGTCTGTTCTTTGTCCATGTACCACCCTTGTTGGCAAGCAGAGGGTCACTTGGTCCTCATTGGTCTGGCTGCCCCCACAAGAAGCCGCCAGCCAACATCAACCTGTATATCAACGAACCCTACCCATATCCAATTGCCGGAGGACAATGACAACTCACCAACAAGAAGACGATACCTTTTTGTGTTTCAACTCGGCTATGTGAAATGCAACGTGAATTATTATATAATTATATAGTTAATTCATGACCATATTACAATATATTACACCTACTATTCAGCAAAGGCACTGAGCCACAGAAAACCACATGAAACAAACAAGCCACTGTCTGACAGCCAGCCCCAGGACTGGCTGGGCTCCTGGCAGGTCCAGCGCGCCCAACTGGCGCACGAATCTTCACCACTGGAACTACTATCCGTCAGTTCCCTTATGACATCTTGCTGATCACCCAGTTAGGTGGTGAGAGTGGTGGTGAGCACACCACGCGTTCCAGGCAAGGGTAGGGCCAGGGTCATTTGTCTGACATTGCCGGACTACCTCGTGTTGATGTGCCAGATCACCATTTGTGTCCTAATTGTTCTACCCGTTGTGACTTCTCAGAGTCTGTGGGGGCCGAGTTCCTCCTTGCAAACAAAAACACAAAATAATATATTGAGAATCCGCTAGCCTTGCCAGCATGTCTAATGAATTAGTGGGGGGGGTGCTGTGTTTTGTTTTGTTTTGATGCTCGCTTTGCTGTAAATGTAGGGTGTGTTCCTCTTGGACGGGTTTGTGATTTCATTCAATAAGTCAACGCCCCCCACCCCACACCCACCCCGTCGTTCCTCGTCCTGTCCTCGTCCTTTTGTCCGATATGCTGGGCTCAACTCGATCGTCTAGGCTTTAACCAGCGATGTCCCCGAACTGTTCGTCCTCTTATTGCCCCCTGCTTCGACAAAGTAGAGTTGCCGCAGTTTCGCCATATAAACATTAGCCGCCGAGCCATACATGCCCGATCTTTTAGATCTTTCAGACAGGGTTGCCAAAGGCTTGCGTGTTGAGCCTGAAGCCCGCGCCTGCGGTGTTGAGAGCCTGAAGAGCTGTGTGCAGCTGCATGCAGGTGGCGAGCACCACCTGGGCCCATCGAAGTAGCATCCGGACTGCTGCTTTTGATTATATAGTGGCCTCTTTCAATCAGTGACCAACACCATTTGTCTACTTATTGGCATTTACTGGATTTTATTGGTGCATAATGTGCTCACTTCCAACATCTTGCAATGTCGAAGACGTGTAAGAAAGTGCAGGATCCGTTCTCACAACAATTGAATTGGCGCCAAGATGATGTAGGATGCCCTCGATGCCAGCTCACAGCCTTTTGCCCGCCAAACGTGCTGGACTAAAAGTTGAAAGAATGCTCGCAGCCATCCCTCTAGGATGTGCGGCACTTGGCTTCAACACGTCGTGGGAAGACAGCTTCTCAGTCATGAATCTGAACCTATCTGAACTGCATGTCGGCTCAGTTGTGGCTCCGTTCGCAGGCAGGTCATGCTGTGTGGTGCCCTATGAGCAATACAACTCATGTCAAGATGTTTGTGCACAGGCACTGGCAATGTGGATGGCACGCTGCTACCGGACCCCTTGGGCACCGGACCCCTACAATCCAGATAGACATCCGTGCACCTTCCCTGGTTGGAGACCATCTCTTCTAGGTTCTTTATTTTTCTTAAACTGTGCACCCTCCCTGTGAGCCACTGACCTCGCAGCTGCCTCATCACATCTCATTGTGCCTCGGAAAACACCCGAATGCTTCGATGGTCATCCTTGGGAGACCCCGTCGTGTCCCCACCGAACGCCTGGTCTTCTCTCGACGTCTATCTCATTGGCCGCATCCTTTGGCAGCCACATTCACCAGCCCTGCAGGGCCGCCATGGCAGGGATTGGCAGGGCCCTACACGACCTCAGCACTCATGGTCTCCCCTTCGACTTCATCGATGTTGGCCATCTTCTTGAGGGCTGCAGCGGCCTTCTCCTGGCGAAAAAGGCTCAGCCGCCTTTTGCACAGAAAGAATCAACCGTCGGGTCCGTGGCGAACGAAGGTTCGCACTGCATGGCGAAGGACGAACAAACACGCAGCCAGATTTGTCCCAGAAGGTCCCAGAATCCCAACGAAAGAATCACCTGTATAGGCGTGACCATGTTGACGAGTCAGACTTCCGCAGCTGACGAGCAACACATTCCAGCCCCATCTCCTGGAATCGCTCGGACTCACTGCTGTTCCCCATCTCCAGCTGTAGTTCAGCGATCCTCAGAAAGACGGGGCCCGGAGTTCAGCCGACTCCGAGTCCAGCATGAAAAACGCGAGGGCGTATGACACTCGACTCACATCGGTTGCTAGTATACTGGTCCTGCCCCCTTACTGAATTACTCAAGCTGCATCGAAGCTAAAACTGTGGTTTTACTATGGTTTTACGATGTTTTACGAATCCCCGTGGATCCAGGCTGCCCTAGCTTGGATGTTTCCACTGGCACAGAAGCAGCATCTTTGTGGGCGATCTCGGGCTTCTGGGTCCGAACCATGCCGCCTCATGGAGACGTCTCGGCTTCGTGACCGTCCATCCTTTCCGTTCCCCGCGGCGAACATGGCCCACCACTTACTTTGGTCAACCGAGGCTCCTTGCAAAGAGCTTCGAGGCTAGAGCTCCCGTCACCTGGCTGACGTGTTCTTCCGGCCCATGGGCTGCTAGCAGTGGCCATGGAGCACTGAGCATGACTCGGGCTCCACAGACTGGAGCCGGGAACGCAGGTCACGGGTGGAACGATAAGACCGTTCAGAGCATTGAAGAGCATCAAGAACCCAACATCCGAACTGACACACGTTGGAAGGTCAGAATCAAATCCGCTGATCCCGCCTGGCATATGTATGTCATCTAGAATCATCTCCTCCGGACTCCATCCACCTTCCTCACACTGCCCTCACTCCCCTGACCTTTCCTCTGTGTCACATGTGTCCTGCCTTCTCCAACACTTCCCTCTGCGCGGCAGCTGACTGCAGTGCCTCCAATTCTGCTGCTCGGGCAGCCTGCTCAGCATGAAGGGCCCCCAGTTGTTCCAACAGCCTGGCATTGTGGCTGCAGGTGAAGGTGATCTCAAGAATGGTCTCCAGATGTCTCGAGTCCCCCGAAAATGGCCCTGCTGGTACTGGATCGATGATTGATGGCTGATAGCATATATCTTTATTTATTTTATTTAAGGATTCACTGCTATAGAGAAAATTATGTGGATATCTATTCTGCCGTTCCCTTCTATTCGACTAATCATGATCCCAATCGTCCCCCACCCTGTGAGATGCTTCGCCACCTTCACATTTGGTTGGCACAAGTCTGGGGGTTGACCCCACCCACCGCCCTCAGTAAATTGAAAACGCCCAACCACCCGTGGCCACACCCAGAACCACAGACCCCACTGAGGGCCTTTTTGCGGCGCAGCGGTTAACGTAGCGGCGGCGTTTTGCGGCGTCTCTTTGGGATTGACGATTGACCGCACGATTGTGCCGAGAACTCGATGACTGAGTCGAGGACAAATCACATCAAATTGATGCCATGCCATCCCATCAAAACCGGTCGATCCAAAACAATGTTCTGAGCTTTAAATCTGGCGTCTTCATCTTCAACTTTTGAACAGCCTCCCAAATCTGAAGAAACTCTGTCTTCGAGGACCCCCCAGTTCTGGGGGAATATCGACCTGGGCGGTGCAATCGACCTGGGCGGTGCTCCTCCACCTGCGCGTTCTTTGGAAAATTCCGAGCCGCGGCCGGGCGTTTCTTTCAACTGGCCACTGGGGCCACTGGGGCCTTTCGCGCCCTTTCGACACACCACGCGGATGGCTCCACAAAAACCTCGTGAGATTGTTCAACAAAAACAACCCATCAGTACCCATCTACAGGCAAACTGACCATGTGTCCTACCCCCGAAACGTGTGGAAAATCATCCGACGAGGACCGGCGGGCATGAGGCGTCGGTGCGCAGAGCGCAGGTTCGGTCTGCCAGAAAGGGGTCCGATCAGTCGAAGCACGTCTGCTCATGTCTGCTCCATCTGCTTCGTGCCACATCGGACAACCCGACCGAAGAGGAGGCTCGTATCGAGATGGTTGCGCACCGCTGGTGTGGCGAAACTTGATCGAAACACAGCATCTAGACGCTGCCACCGGTCAGAGGTGCAATAATGGAAGACTTGCTCTGGAAGGCCATGTGCTTGGCATCATGCAGCATCACAAACCTAGACCTATAAGTAGCGATTGTCATAGGTACACACAACTAAATCTCCGACACCGTCTGAACCCTTCCTGGCACCGAAATCAGCACCGGATACTGGTCTGCTCCCGCTGAGCAGGGAGAAAGCTGCGCGACTGCGCGTGGCTGTTCGTCGTTCGAAGCAGGCGACCAGGCAAACAGGTGGGCCCTAGTTTTGAGACAGGCTATATATATGGCTATATGAGTACCAGTGCCAGGGTAGGTAGGTGGGTAGGGCCCAGGTGTATCAGGAGAATGGCTGCGGGCCATGGTTCGAGCAACTAGAGTAATTTTGGACCTCCACCACGGCAGGCGAGATGAGAAGAGTCTAGACAATTATGTCGTCAAGTTATGTCATATGTCATTATGGTTGTTACTCCTGAGCTCGAAGAGTTCCCGCGGCAAGTTCCTGACTTAGACTGTCTCAATAACATAATACATAATATACGACATATTAACAACATAATACATAATATATATACAAGCTACTAGTAGTGTGCACAGTTTGCCCCATGGTCTGAGAACTGGTCTGAGGTGATGTGCGGTTCCTTTGACACTTGGCCTTCTGGCCCTCTGTTTAGGTCGTGCCGCGTGCGCCCCGTGCAGCCCCCGTGAGCCCGGCCCTCACAGCAATCGAAGCTCGGGACGATGAAAAATGTCCACATAGGTCAACAGGGCCACTGCGCCAGCAATGAGACACATTCCTCACTCCAATCTCTCTCTCCATCTCCAATCGCATTTGGGGATTTGAGATCATTTGAGCCAATTTGGGAGGTGAAACGTTCTGATTTGGTGCCAGGGAGGCCAAACAAAACACACTGGAGCGGGAGCACAAGCTTTTGGATGAGCTGATTCATGGTGCTGGAAATCGCCGTGTTTGCTTTCGTGCGCCTTCGGTTTCCCACGAGCTGAAGCGAAGCATGGAATGACCTTTTGCCGTTGTTCAAGGTGAATCGATGATCTTCAGGCTTTAGCAATGCAGGGACATTTCCGCATGGTTGCCCCTCTTCCAAACCTTCTTCCAACCCCAAACCGGGCAGCTGTGAGGGTAGTTCATGTAGAAAACGGCTGGGCCCAACTCCTGCCATGTCTCGCTGCGGGATGATCAAGAAACGATGTACAGAGTTGAGGAAAACATGCAGGGCTGGAACTCGGAACTCAGAAGAAATCAAAAGGTCAATGCGTGGACTGGATGGTCATCTCGCAAAGTCTAAGACTTGCCTCACAATCTCACGTGTAGAATTGACATCCAAAAAAAGGAGCTGGCGGCAAACCACAAGTGTCACAGAAATGAATTCAAGAGATTTCAATTCACAGAATCGTTCTGAATCACCATCTCATTGCTTCCCCAACGGTCCACGGCTTGATTCATTATCTCATTTCATCTCACATGTTGGTCGCTCCACGGCTTCCCGAATTGAGCTCCTTGTAGGCGGTGGTCCATGCCGCTCTGGTATAGTACGGAGCCCCTTCAGGCTCGGCATGCGCAGCCAACCGTCCTGATGCCGCGTGTGGCGAGGCTTCTGAGCGCCTTTTGCTCTGGGTGCGTCGACCCCTTTTCGGACCATGAGGTCCTCCACCGACTGATCCACCGTGCTATCAACCTACACCTTGTCTCTCTCCTACCATCTCCGCCCCACGTGTCTCCCACCATCTCCGCCCCACGTCGGCTGCCCGACATCCCAGTCCCGCGAAGAGGGAGACGTTGTGCATCCACTGCGTGGCGAAGGCGGTACACGCGCCCGAAGCAAAGCCGGCAGTGAAGCGCAAAGGGCCCTGCGCGGAGCGAGGCGCCGAGCACGGAGAGGTCTGGGGGCGTCGAGCACTGAGGTTTTGAACCATCGTGGATACCCCGCAGGGTCGTTTAGGACGACTCTGAGGATGAAATGGTGGGATATGATGAGTGAAAAGTGGCCTGGAAGTTCTAAACCAAACAAAGAAAACACATATAGTCACATAATAATATATGATAATTAATATAACTTAATACTAAAAAGGTGCGTATCACAACACCCGCCGTTTCACATGTGAGGGACGACACATGTGAGTGACCTCGCGAGTTGAGGGCTCCTCAGGGGGACCGTCCCTCGTCACCTCCACGGCGCTCCGCGTCCACCGTGCCCGTGCCTCTGCAATGTGGACCCCTCCAATGCCTCACGTCCAGCAGTTTTGTTTTTTCGTTTCTTTTGGACCAACGAGGAACACTTCGCAGCACATGGTGGTGCTGAGGTCTAGCTCAGAAATTGCAGCTAAGGACGTCATGCTAATCCAGCTCGTAGATTTCTTGATGACATGAGTACCCATTCGCATTCAAACTCCTGAAGCGATGGTCAACTTCCACCACCCCGCCTAAAGAGAATACTCCAACAACACTCCGATTCACACCCTTTCCCTACCCCCTTCTCGCCCCTTCTGCGCAAGCAAAATGGAAACCTTGCTAAAGCTTCTCCAAGAATCTAGGCTTTCCGGTTTCATCCTGCACTGCAGTTGCTAGGCGCGTCTTCACCACAGGGCCCAGGTACCTCACAAAGATACACATTCGGAGGCCCAGCCAGCCCCAAGTGGAAAAAACCTGAAGAATGAATCAAATAAAGCAAATGTACCTGCCTCATGCGACTAAGGCATGACGTAAAACGACCCGTTCACCACCTACAGTCAGGGACTTCCAACTATATTGCCTCCTCTAAGGACAGAGAGGAAAAACAAAGACTTGCTATAAGGACCTTGCACTTTCAAGCCAAAGAGGAAAACAAAAAAGAACAGCCGTCGCCATACTCAGTTCCAACTGTCCCTCGACTTGACGCTCGCTCCGCAGATCGACATCCGACGCTCCGCGGTCGCCAAGTCACAAGCCCAAACCCATGGCCACACTCTCCCGGCCGAAGCACCAGACCAAACCAGGCTGAACTCCTGGTGTTACACGTGAAGTTGTCCAAACCAACCGAGAAAGTAAAGAAACAAAACAAAACAATACGAAGCCGTGATTGTTTTTGCTTGTTAGTTTGATTGTGGCCGGCCGGCCGGCCGGCCGGCTGGCTGATCGAGAAATAGCGGGCTGTGTTAAGCTCGCAATGAACATGGTGATTCTATACTGCGAATGCATCATGTATGTAGTGATGCTAACATGGAGGGGCTCATCCAGTGGGGCCATCATTGGACCCCAATAGAGTCTTGCGTCGCGTGTCGCCAGTCTGACAGATCGAGCCAGGTCATACTCAACGCATGACGCCACGAACTGGACGCACCCCAAAACAAGGAGCTCTCCACGTCTCCTTTGGCCAGCTCTCTTATGGAAACCGGCTGCTTCGCCTGCCGGTTGGGACTGTGATCGTTCAGTGAGGGCTTGATTGTCGTCCGTCCGGAGGCGATGGTGGGGACAAAGTCCGTCAGTCAGCGTTCGACGCACGAAGAAGCAATAAGAGAACTTCGCTCTAACCCAGACCATCCATGGGACTGCCATATTTGCATCATTGGCGTGGTTTTCGGGGTGAATGTAGGTCAATATGCCATAATGGATGGTCTGGGTAATCACCATCGCCCCAGTAATCCCATGTAATCCCTAATAAAAGTCTCGCCCCAGTCTCCCACGGTGCTCCGGGATTCCCAGAACGGCCAGCTCAGCTCTACCGGTGCTTGCTCCGGTTCTCGTCCGGATCCGATCGGTCCCGATCGATGCCCGCGCCTTGCCAGTGTAGACCTTGTACATCTCCGAGATCAAGGTGTTGTAGATCACCGACTGAAATCCCGTGCCCAAGATACCAAAGGACATCATCGAACTGGCCGCGGGGTGCATCACCTTACAGGTGCCCGCGGAAGCGGTCGACCGT